TTATGAATCTAGCCTTGTTTATGACTATTCTAAATATTGAGATTGATTTGAAAATATTAATTTATAAGGTATTTTGACTGCTTTTTTAAAATAAAATAATGATTTTAATAAAAAATAATATTTTTAAATATAATAAATAAATAAATACGAAAATATTTAAAAAAAAATAGATTTTTATGGTTAGAAATAATTGAAAATGAAAATAAAGTTAGTAATAATAAACAACAAAAATATCTAAAGTGCACCAAGTGAGATTCGAATCCGTGACCTTCTGCTTGCGAGTCTTTCTCCCTTACAAACTGTGATATGTTACTTAATTGAAATAAAAAACCAATTGAAAGTATATGAAGGTGAACGATTATTTGCTATTTTTAAAAATACAAATAATTATTATATTTTTAAACAGACTTGAAAGCGAATATTTATTAAAAGCCCCAAAATGTTAATGTAATTTAACCAAAGGAATTTTTCACCGTGTAAAACTCAAGTTCGAAAATAAATTTGACGGTAGCACTAAGGCGGACAAATTTGGGGTATGACAACGTGAAACTTGAATCCATAATCCACTATTTTCTTGAGTCGTTGCTTTAAACTACAAGAACATCAGATGAGTCGAAATCATCTTGAAAAATGGCTGCATTGTCATTATCCTTACCTCCATGATCTTTCAGGCGTTCAAGGAATGCCTTTCTTGTGTGACCCTCCTTCTTACAATGATAGCATCGAATACCATATGCTTTGCCACTGTAAGACTTTTGTTGACTTTTAGCTTTCTTCTTGTCAAACTTACCATGCTTTCGCAATAATTTTCCTTTAACGGCCAAACTTTCACCAACTCACGAAGGTTTATGCTCGTTTTGTTCATTCAAGTCCTTAGAATACAAGGATGATTGAACTTCTTCAAAGGTCAGAAACTATCTTCCATACAAGATGGTTTCTTTGAAGTGAGCACGTGTTCTGGGTAAATCGCACAATAGAAACAATACTTGATCTTCATCGTCAATTTCCACATGAATACTTTCAAGATCAAGAAACAGTTTGTTGAATATATCTAATTGCTCAACCAATACTCTGTCTTCAATAATCTTGAATATATAAAAATCTTGCTTCAGGTAGAGTCGATTTACCAATGATCTAGTCATGTACAAACCTACAAGTTTTGCCCATAATCCTACCGTCGTCGTTTCCTTTGATACATGTCATAGAACCTTATCACCAAGGCTCAAAGAGATTACATTGTGAGCTTTCTCTATCATGGCCTTATTTTCTTTTCCTGTTAATGCAACATCCATTGTCGCTCCCTTTAACGCTTGCAAACAACCCTGTTGAACCAGTGAACTTTTCAATCTCATACTTTGTTGAAGACATCTTCTCCACGCTCACCAAACCATTTTGTTGTGAAAATGATGCCAAGAACAGAGTATAACATGTTTCTTTAAGGCAAGAAAGCCACAAGGTATGAATCAGGAAAGCAAGAAGAACAAAAGGAATTGGTTATTAATTGTTATTCTTTACTTTCTCTTTCAAACAAGATTACAAGTACACAAGAACAAAAAATAACTCTCTCACCCTAAAGTAGGATTTTTTGTATGCAATAATGAGATACTAGTATGCTATTTATAATAAACCTAACACACTAAACTAATGGGATTTTTCGCAAATACCCATTACAAGCTAACTTAGGGCACAAGCTAACTTAAATAAATGGACATAAAAAGAGGCGCAATTCGACATTACTAACAAACCTAGTAATATTGACTAATGCATGTTAGAAGTACTTCGACTATAACACACACTACTTCGTCAACAACATGCGAACAAGCTTCGACCTCTTATTCCCTGTCGAACCAGAAGCTACCCTTCGATCCAATAGAGTTCGATCCAATATCTCAGTCGCCTTAGAAGGAAAATAAAAATAATTAAAAGTAATATAATAAACACATGTAGTTACATGAGTAATAATACCACCTTTAAACCTAATATAGTTAATGTAATCTTCTATCTTAAATTCTTTGGTTGCTTTGTCTTGTTGATCCAGAAATCTCGTTCATGAATAAAAATAATAAACAACATGGGATGAACACTAAGATTTCAGTGGATAGAGAATGACTTCGTAATTTCTCTTCAATATACACACATAAATATCATAATAAATTATCGTAAAACCATGTTTAAGAAGAATTCATCAAACAACTTCACTTCAGAAAATTTTGGAAATTCATTTCCCAACAACATGCAGCTCACCAACTCCAAAATAGTGATATTCATGGGTCAACTATGTCATTTTGTTGTAGTGCGCCATCAACAATTCTATGCCTCTTTATACCTTATTTATGTAAAAATCATCAAACTTCTTTCAAATAAACTTTAGGTCATTATTAGTTCTTAAAACTTCTAGTTTCAATTGATTTTCTATAAGAGTATGTTACTCCTTAAACTTTTTAAAGGTATCAATTTTATGTTTAAAAATGTGAACCCAATATCTTAAAGAGAAATCACCCGTTTATGTTGAAAATAATATAAATAACCCCATATGTTGCATCCTTGCAAGATCCAAAAGATCCTAGTGAATATACTTAAATGGTCACTAGAATTATGAATACCACTCCCAAACTTCATCCCATATTATTTGACTAGTATGCTATGATCACAAAATTATAGTTTGTTTAATTTCTCACTTTCTTATAAGCCATTTTCTACTAGCTCAACCAAATCTCTTTCACTAAGATGCCCTAATGTTAAATGTCATGGTTTAGTTTTATCATAAAATTATTGAATAGCTAATGATAATTACCAATAATAGTTGAACCATTTAAAACATACAAACCACATATTTTATAACCTTTGGGAATTATTAATGCACCATGAAATTTTTTAACATGCCATGTTCAATTCTAATGCAATAACTTAAATGATGAAGCGTGTTTATAGTCAACAAATTTAGCTAGTTCAGGAACATACTCCATGTTGCGTAAAAGGAACTCACTATTATCAAACTTATTGAGCCTAACTAATACCTATACCACGAACCTTGTAAGCTTTATCGTTAACAAATCAAACAAATCCATCTTCTTTTAGCTCCAAAATATAAAACTATCCCTTCATTTGAACATGAGATAAGAGGATCCAAAGTCTGACTCAACTATTATCCATCTTCAAACATGTTACCATTAGTGCATAAACACTCTCATAACCTTCCCTATAATAGGAAATCGTAATTTGAATAGAATCGCCCTTGTTTCCCCTCCTTGGACAATCCTTCTTAAAGTGATTGTTTTATAAAAAAATGAAATAATTATACTTGGAATGTCCAAATCCCTTAGACTTTGAATTGGACTTAGATCTATATTTCCCCCCCTTTTGGTTTCCCAAAATCTCACTCTCTCTTTTGAAATATTCAAGCCTTAATTACTATCATCAACTTTCAACTCTTTCATCATAGTTAAATCCTTAGTTTTTATTGTTTATTGGACCTCCTCCAAGTTGATGTTTCTTCCTTATCAAGTTGAAATTTTGATATTCCACTTAGAAGCTATGATGCTCGCTTGTAAACTTACACCCTTTTCCACAAGTTAGGTGCAAGTTGTTGTGAAATGAATAAAAATTCAAACATATTAATATATAAAATGTGTGAGACAAAGAACAATGTTAGCCGAAATTTAAACAAACTTAGGCAATAATAATTTCCCAACTAATGCAAGCAATAATAATTTCCCAACTAGTGCAAGCAAAACCATAATAGCAAGAAGAAGAAAGGATAAGAACACATAATTTTTTACCTAATTCAATCCAAAATGATATACTTTATGAGGTAGAAAAGCTCTCTTATCCACTATTAATCAAGAGATTCAAAAAGATATTACAAATGAGTTACAAGGAATAAACTCAACAAATTAATAAAAACACTTCCTAATTTTTTATTTGTCACCCAATCTCTTCTCTTCTCAACACATGAACCAAATACAATCTCAATGTGCTTAGAAGTGTTTCTCACCCGTTGAATTTTTTCAAAAGATCTTTCAATATTTAGGCTTTGAACTCCTATAATATCACTCTTTAATTATAAACGATAAATATTAAAAAAAATTAACTTTTATTTTAACCACTTATAAAATAATATAAACAAATGATATTAATTAATTGACAGTGTAAAATTTTTACACTAACTGTACATAATAATTAATATTTGTTGGAATAATATAGCAAGTATGAGTAATTGGGGAAATAGTCCCAAATTGGATAGGAATGTAGAGACTTAAGCATATATAAGTGGGAGAACCCACTCACCTATTACCTTAAGGTTTTAGGTGGAGAAGTGATATGTCTCTCTTAAAGGTGTTTGTTCCTACCCTATGCATCAATGCTCCTAATAATCTTCTTCCATCATGGTATCATGAGCCTTTGTTTCGAGAAAGGGACCGAAAGGAACTTGTATCGAAATTCGCCCAAAAAATGGTGTGGTACACTTAAGGGAGAGTATTGGAATAATATAGCAAGTGTGAGTATGATGTGTCTCTCTTAAAAGTGTTTATTCCTACACTATGAATCAATGCTCCTAATAATCTCCTTCCAACAATATCTTTACGAAATTATTTCTTTACAATACAAGTTAGCATTTTTCTAATTTTTTTTTATTAAGAATAATGTTTGAACACCAATATTTCACTCTCTCTTTATCTATCTTCCCATCACATCGCCAATCTATTAAATCTATATTTATTTAATTTATTTTCCATGGTGTTGATGATGTGTTTTAGTGTCCACAAAACATATTCATTTTCTTATTTTAATGCTCTTGTTTTGTCCCCACTTCCTTCACCCTCCATAATTTCCAAGGAACCGACGAATTTGCTCAAACATATTCTACGACTTTGCTTGCTACTTAAACAACAGTCGTAGGTCAGTTTACTTCTATTCTTATACATTATGCCAATTTTTGCATGCCTCTTATTTTCAGCAAAATGAAAAACAAATCTTCTTTCTAAGTGCTCCAATCAAATATGGGAACAAATGAAGAGGAAGAAAATGGAAACTACAAGAAAAGTACAAAGCTTCCACACTTTGTAATTTTATTCACATCCATATTCACAAGCATAGTTGGTGGCTGTGTTCTTGGATGGTGGCTACACAAATATCATCCATCAAATGAGCAACTTTGGATGGTACCATTTGGTTTTGTTCTCTTCATCACTCCTATCATTGTCTTGCTCTCTCTAATAGTTTCTGATCCATGTTTTCCCAAAGAAGTGGAGGGTTCACTTTCTAACACAAACACATGATTCTGTTATTTTGATTCATGCTCTTACTTTTGTTTTTTTGTTTTGACTTATGTAATAATGGATGTATCATTAACATTCATTAAACTGAATTTCAGTAAAGTTAGTAATGTTCACTTTAACAGTTCCATTTTAGTACTATTTCAAATGAATAAAAATTGTTAAAGAATATTATATTCTTAATATTATTTTGTTATCTGGATGAGGCATGGGGAATGGAGGGGTAGGCAAGTTACAGATGGTGCCTTCCCCATATGATATCATTTTAACAAATCCAATTGGCAGATATAATTGACAAGACACGTTTTGTATGACACAAAGTCTTTGGTGAACTAATATGGTAAGCTTTTCATAATACTAAAAAAATCTCCAATTGTCATTGAAATATGTATTTATTTTCAAGTGATGATGTAACATTGCTATCCAATAATTCGACTATTTGGAAGAGTAAATTAGCAAATGTGGAGTATATAATTATTGTTTGGTGGTACTTGAAATTATATTGAGTAAGTATATATCCTTTTAATTATTCTTTATTTCAGAAGAAGAAATATCAATTTCAGGAGAAGATTATCTATCTCAGGGGGAGATCCTCATACTTGTATAAAATCTCTTTTTAATCAAAATCTGAATTGTTTTGTCATCATCAATAAGGGGAAGATTGTTAGAACAAAGTTTGATTCTAATCATATCTTAGAGTTTTGATGATAACAATGAAATAAATTTTGTGATATATATTTTATACTCTGACTTGTATGTTCTCTAAGATTAGATGAAGTTCTGTCTTACGCATCTTAGAAAGAAACAACATTCTACGCAGGTATAAAACAAACTCGGAAGGAAGCACTCCAAAGCAAACTCTGATGAAGAGCAATCCTAAGAAACTTCTAATAAAGATAGTTGAAGCAAAGATCTGATAGAAGCACGCTGAAAACAACATCTGATAAATGCAAGATTAAAGCAAACTCTGATGATCACATATTGAAGAATACTCTGATAGAAGAATAGATCTAGTAAACTCTGAATTAGCAACGCTGCAAGCAAACACTTCAACTTCCAGAGACAAGCTCGACAGTACCGTTGGTTATTAAATGCTAAGACGACTAACACACTCAAGTATACTACGCGCACTAGCATTGGAAACATAAAGACCAAATATACTCGCTACACCCATCATTGCAAACACGCTTCATTAAATGCATGCACCGTCATCAAGACATTAACGGTCAATTGGAAGCTATATATAGAAGACCTTTTGTATCAAAGAAAGGTTACTGACGTACGTGAAATATACTTACACTCACTGTTTTCATACTTGTAAACTAATACTGTATAGTGGGTAGTTCTTAAGCATTGGACAACAATCTTAGTGAAAAATCACAGTTGTGATAAAGCTTTTTAGAAGCAAATCTTTTTCACTACTATTAAGAGACAATTTTGTAAGTGTTCCTTGAGAGATCAGTTGGGTCAGATTTCTCAAGAGGGCTAGGACTAGTTGAGTCTTAGAGGTTTTAGTCACTTGCAGTTAGCTTGTGCAATATATTGTTAATCACACCAGTTTGGTTGTGCGCTTGTAATCAGTTTGATTATAGTGGATTAAGTCCTCGTCGAGAGATGCGAAATCACCTTGGCGGGTGGACTGGAGTAGTTTGAGTTTCAAACGAACTAAGATAAAATTACCAGTGTCCTTCCATTAGTATTGCTCTAGAAAAGAAGAAAAACTTATTCACCTCCCCCTTCTAAGTGTTTTCTCAACCTTCAATTGACATCAGAGCTCTAGTTCTGGGTGAAAACACCTAACAGTGTCAGAAAAATATCTAGAAGGAAAACACTATGGCATCTGAACAAAACAACAACAACTGCACAAAACCTCCTGCGTTTGATGGAGAAGACTTTGAATACTGGAAGGATAGACTAGAAAGTTTCTTTCTAAGTCACGATGTTGATCTATGGGATTTGGTCCTTGACGGGTACACTCATCCAGAAGATAAAGACGGAAACAAAATTGACAGAAGGAACATGGATAAACAACAAAGGCTAGATTTCAAGAATCACCACAGAGCCAGAAACATCTTTCTGAACGCTATCTCGAAAAATGAATATGAGAAAATCACCAACAGAGATACGACACACGACATGTTTGAATCCCTCAAGATGACTAATGATGGAAATGCACAAGTAAAAGAGACAAAAGCTCTGGCTCTCGTTCATAAGTATGAAGCATTCAAAATGGAAGAAAATGAGTCTATTGAAGTTATGTTCTCGAGATTCCAAACTCTGATTACTGGCCTAAGAGTTCTGAACAAAGGATACACCAAGGCAGACCATGTTAAGAAAATCATCAAAAGTTTACCCAGAAGATGGGCACCTATGGTCACTACATTCAAAGTATCAAAAGATCTGAAAAACGTTTCCCTTGAAGAACTTATCAGTGCTTTAAGGAGTCACGAGATAGAACTTGATGAACACGAGCCTCAGAAGAAAGGTAAGTCTGTAGCTCTTAAATCTATTAAAAAATTTGAAACTAACGCTTTTCAGGCAGAAGAAAGAAACTCTGAAGATTCTGCATCAGAAGAAGATGAGATTTCTTTGCTCTTTAGAAGGATCAATTAGATGTGGAAGCATAGACAAAAGAAGTTCAGGAACTACAAGAGGTCAGAAGATAAACCAGAATCTTCTGGACATAAGAAGTCAAGTAGAAGAGATGTAGTCTGCTATGAATGCAAAGAACCTGGACACTACAAAAGTGACTGTCCCAAGCTGCAAAGAGAAAGACCCAAGAAAAAGTTTGGTAAAAATAAAGGCATGATTGCCACCTGGGATGATTCAGAATCATCTAAAGCTGAATCTGACTCAGAAGACGAACACGCTAATCTAGCGTTTATGGCTACCACAACAGATGACTCGGACTCTGACTCAGAACCAAAAGAGGTATTCTCTGAATTCTCTAGAACTGAACTTGCTGAAAGCCTATCTGAACTGCTTGAAAACTACAGTAAACTCAATATCAAATACAAGAAACTCAAAAAGAATCTTGCGTCTGATCTTGAGAAACTTGAAACAGAAAACTCTGAACTTAAAGAAAACATTTTTAAACTCAAAGAAGATGTTCAAAAATTTGAAAAGAACTCTATTTCAGATTCTTCTTCAAGTTCAAAAGATATTCTAAAAGAATATGACTCCAGTTTTCAAACGTTTCTCACTAAAAGCATAGATAGAAGCAAAATGGCTTGTCGATCTATGGTGTTAGTGGAAATGATAGAAGAGGTATTGGATATAAAGCTCCCATAGGGAAAAAATATATAAACCTAAGCCCGTTGAGGAAATGGTTATATCATATAAACCACTACACAAGCAATTTAATTTTGGGCACACACATGATATCAAATACACTTCTCACTCTGAAAATTCCTATGCAAAATCAAAGTTCAATATGAACTATAGAAACTCTAACCAAAAAGGACCCAAAAAGAAATGGGTACCTAAGGAGAAAATAATCTATGTTGCAGATGTCCTTAACAACTCAGTTGAAACACCAGTCATGGTACCTGGGCTATGGATGCTCGCGTCATATGACGGGAAGAAAGTCTATGTTCCAAAGTCTGGAACTTAAATCTGGAGGTGATGCCAAATTTTGAGGAAATAAAAAAGGAAAGATTATTGGTTCTGGAACCATCGGAAAGGGTAACCTTCCCTCTATAACTAATGTTCTTTTAGTAGAAGGATTAGCTCATAACTTGTTGTCCATAAGTCAATTAAGTGACAACGGTTATGATATTATCTTTAATCAAAAATCCTGTAGAGCTGTTAGTCAAAAAGATGGAACAATCCTTTTTACTAGTGTTGCACCCCAAAATTTGCCCTCCTAATCTCTTTTGGCTTAGACTTAGCGTAGCATTCGCATCATTTCATTAGGTTACTAACATAGCATACATTTGGTTCGATAAAGTACCATGGGTTCAAAGGACCAATGAAGTAGCAATATCATGGTATTACGGTGATTAGTTGTGTGCATCAAATAAAGGTTGGTTTCTTCTGATTCTTCTGGCTAGTCTTCTATAAGCAGTAGAGCGTGGAGTTAGGGTTTGGTTGTTTATTGGTTTCATATTCACTATGAACGATTATCCCATCAATTAAGACTCAGTGGATTATAGTTGCATCTCATGGGTTATTTCGAGCATCCTTCAAGTCTTATTGCCCCAACGTCACAAATAGTGGATTATGGTTCATGTCCGTAGTGATGGCGCTGGTTAATTCAATTAAGGATTCATTATGTTCCAGGAATCATTATTTTAATACTTCTCCCCTGAGGTAGAACTGAGTTTGAAGTTAGAAATTTTGGCAAGAAGTCAGGTTGATTTGGTTTTTTGCTCATTAGAAATTGAAGTCGTTTTGAATCCATTGTGGTGAAATATTCAGTCATGTGGGCTATGAATTCAGTGTTACCAAGCGATCAATTGGTATGATTTAAGATTTTGGTCCATGGATTCTCTATGGAATCAAAATTGATTCGTCGAGGATCAATACAAGGGGTGAATTAAGATTTCTTGAGGATCCACATTTCATCAATTCAAAGAGGTGTCTTCGGCTTGGAGTGCAAGGCGTGGACAATATGAACTTCAACATTGAATCCGATTTTTCTATGAAATTCAAGCACGGTGTGACATCTGATTAAGATCCAAGTATTTGATTCATTTGCATTTTGATAACATAAAACCAAGATTTTGATTGACAATATTATTTCAAGCATGTAATTGGAGTTCAACTATAGTGGAACTATGAAAGGTACATAACTTGATTCAAACATCATGGAATTCATCATTCAAGTATTGATACGAGTCCATTCAAATAATCAAACATCATTTAAGGTTATAGACAAGGTTATTAAAATCCCATTCAAAATACATATATCCATTCAAGTGCATTTCGTCGCGCAAGTTTAAATACAAGTTCAAGGTGTCATGTAGCTTATTACAAAGTCATGCTTAAACCAACTTCTTATC